ATCCCATGGGTTATTTACTAGAACTCATACGAAGAATAAATTCTTACAAGAGTAAAGCATTCACCCGAACTAATTTGGATCGAAGCTCGTGTCTATAGCTCATATTATGCAAATGCACGTGATATGTGTGAGGAGGAACGTACCTACCATTGACTCAAAAATAAAACTAGACAAAACTTGGATCAATCTGAAAACAAAAATTCAAATGTTAGTATGACAACTAAAAATGAAGCAATTAAAAACTTCAATAAAAGGATCATAGATTAACTAAAGACTCGAACTCATAATTTTCATCAAGATAACAATGTGTAAGCGACTTACAGTCTGACTCTCTAAAAAAAGTCCCCAGCGGAGTCGCCAATCTGTCATAACCATTTTTTTGTAAAACAATTATTTATTATTTTAAAAAAACTATTATGACTTTAATTTGAAAAATTGGTGATTTTGGATTGATTTGAATTAAATTGAAAAGGAGCTGCCATCGACCTTTGGGTTAGGTAGATCGAATAACCTAAAAACGTCTTTTATAAACAATTTTAAGGAAAATCATTTTTATAAGACAAAAATTGGTCTACGTAACCAAAGATTCGATTTAAAACAGATTCGGGAGTCGGTTACGTGTGGGGAAGGATTAGCACCCCACAACGCCCAAAAACTGGTACTGTGTCGCTTACACGTTGTCGTAATGGTGGAAATTAGGAATAGAATTTAAAGTTAAAATGTGATCCATTTATTGAAATATTAATTTGCTTCAAATTAATTAAGTAGAGAAAATTCTTTAATTTGAAAAGAAATCTTGATATTAGCAATCTTCCATTGGGAAAACTAACTCGACTATTTCTCATTAGTAAAGAATATTCCCTCATCGATAGATTGTAAAAAATACAAATCAAATATAAAATTGATAATCAACACTTGCATAAATTAAATCACTATTTAGTAATATGCATCACATTGTTTAACTTAAAATAAAGGAATTAATTAGCAAAATAATATCGATTTTATTTCAAGTTCACATTTTGTTCAAATGTCTTATCCGATTGCAATGCTTCGATCAAGCAAGGCTTTCCACGCCCATTCTACAAATCCATGTTAGTAAAACTATTAATATTTAATAAAATATAATAGGAATAAATACAAATCAATATTACACTCATCAAAATAAAATGAAAAAAAATAAATATTTAATCACAAGGACCACCATGATAATAATAATAACTTCAAGGGCTTAAAACAACAGAATATAAATTAGAGGACTCAAATGGTAATAAAACAGAAATTTAAAGATCTTAAATAGCCCTTGGAAAACCCAGATTTGAGGAAGCCAGAGGGTTTTACCTTCGATAGTGAGTCCTTCTCGTTCCGATAAGGCTACAGCAACCGGATCCCTTTGGGATTAGGTAAAATCTTTCTTTTTTTTTTGGCTTTTTCTTTAGATTCCAATAGTTTCCATTCCCTCTCTGTCTTTTTCTTATGTTTTGTTCTCACCGAATGCCTTCTCCCCCCTCTGTCTTCATTTTCTTTTTTCTTTTATGTTGATCTCTGTGATTGGTGACTGATGGATGGCTGAGTTCGTAGGGAATGATATCCCTATACTCATGCTGATAACTCTTGGATTTGATGAGATTTGCTTCCATTTTTATATATATTTTTTTACTATGATTTATTTTGATTGATAGCCTCTTTCACTGTTGGTACTGCTCGAGGAATGCTCGGCGTCGACGAGGGGAACTCGGCTCAAGCGACGGCTGATGTGTCAGTGGAAGCTAAAGAGTCAAGCAATGGCGGCTGGGAGTTGGAAAGCCAAACGGTGGCAGCTTTGACTGGCTCTTGATATTTTAGGGTTTTAAACCCTAATCCCTAAAGTGATATGGACCATTAAATGGGTCCAGATCCAAGGGCTGTGAGATCGGGGCAGCTGGAACGTTGAGATGAAACCCTAGCTGGGTTGTCAAGTGGGTCGGTTCGGGTCATCTACTGGGTTACTGGACCAGGTCTGGGTTTTACTTTAATGGGCTTTGGTAATTGGGCTCTGGATTAGCCTGCAAAAATTGTAACATGTAAATTAATAATAATAATAGTAATAATAATAATATAACTATAATAATAAATATTAAATAAAAAAACCCGGACAAAAATGGGTATCTGCAATAAAGTTAAGTGGGATTAAAAAATTAGGGGTCCTAATTATAAAGGTAAAAAAAAGATGGAAAAAATTAGAGACTTCAGTTATAAAGATAAAAAGTGAGATTAAATAAAATTAGGACCTCAATAATAAAGGTAAAAATAAGATTAAAAACTAAAAGACGTAATTATAGAGATGAAAAAATGGAGACTCTAATTACAAAGATAAAAAAGCGGGGACACTAATTACAAAGATAAAAAAGCGGGGACTCTAAACATCGCTCAGGACACTCCCTAATAACCGACATTGAAACTAGAACGACTAACTATACCTAATCTATTCGCTTCTATTCTTTTGACTAACACTCCTGGAGGGTGAGAGTATTTGTGCATGCCGTCCTGGAGGGACCATGCATACTTTTTTTCTTCTTCTAGTTTTAATACTTTATCTTAATTAATTTAAATTAATTTGTATCACACATCTAATTTTAATAGACAATTTTTTTTGCATCAATTTTCTATTTCATACTTGCATTTATTAAAACATATGATATCCCACCGACTCTTAATCTATTCCAGATCATTTGAACAGCAACAAAAGTTATGATTGATTAAAGAAAACAAAACTTATGATTGTTGTGGAGTACATACAATCTTTTAATTTTGATTTTCAATATTATTTATTTAATTAATTTAATATTTCAAGATGCACTTAAAATATTTAATAAAGTTAAAGTTCTCACATTCAATATACACTATAAATACAATATTTTGTGTGAAGTAATGATTATTGGTAATTAAGTTTGTTTAATTATAAATAAATGGTAAGTTTTTATCTTTAAAATTATGTAATGTAATTATTTTCTTAGAGATACAATCTTTTTGTTATCTTTGTAACTATTTGAGGTTATATTATAAACTTGAATTTGTAGAGATATTAAAAGAATGTTGTCATATTTTCTGCAAAATAAAATAAAGGACAAGTCAAATTCAAGAAAATATAAAATAAACAAAAGTAGACAGAGACGTTTCATGGTAGAAGTCCCAGCGAGCGGGAGGGGTATTATTCTGGTATGGCAAGGTCTCAACTTGCATCTATTGTCTCACGTGGTTGGGGTTTGACCTTGTTCAACTGGCGACTGACCATCCCGATTATTGTGCTTTCCGAAACTATATTTCATTGTAGAATGCGCTAGAAATAGTTGGACAACAACCCCGGCTTTCAGATTTTCAGGACGTGGAAATTGGGGAATAATCCAGAAGAACTAAGAGAGCTGTATAATATATGTGCTTTATATTCAATTGATTACTGTAATCTTAAAACATTAAAAATTTAAAAAAAAGTACTTAAAAGGTTCAAACAATTTTGATAGAATTTTATAAAATAAAATATTAATAGGAGTAAGTCGATTCCCCCTTGTTATCTTTTTATTCTCTTCCTCTAGATTTTATGATAACATTTATTAAATTATTTATATCATTAATGGTAGCGGTAAAAATAAAATTGGAACTGGTTGGGGGTATTGATTAATTAACATGGTTATCAAAACCGGATCAGATCGGCCGGTTCAACCGGTTGAACCGTGAACCGGTGGCCTATCCGGTCCGGTTACCTCACAAAACCGGTCTGACAATGAATCGGCTGAAAACAGGTAAAATCGGGGTGAATCGACTAAAAACCAGCAAAACCGGTTTGAACCGTCGGTTCACTTTTTTTCTTTTAAAAAGATTAAACCAAACGACGTCGTTTGTTCAACGAGCTAAGTCAAATTGGAGTATTGCTGAGCTCGACTTGAACTCGAAAACTTTAAAAGTAAGCTCAACTTTACTCAAAAACTCACGAGCTAAAAATTATTAAGTTCAACTCGAACTCGAAATATAATATTAAAACTTGAACTCGAAAAGGCTCAAACTAAAAAAAGTTAAAAGTTCAATTGAAACATAAAATTTGAGCTCAATTGAAGCGAAAGAATAGTTCGCTCTGTGCTCAATAAAAGGCTCCATGATTTTGAATGTCAAATTACTTCTATTATTTATAGAAGTAAGTTGGGATGCTCTTCTATGTTTCTTAGCCATGTGTGATTGTTTTGTTCTCATATTTTTACTCTTTAAACTTTTGGGATGCTCTTCTATGCTTCTTAGTCATGTGAGATTATTTTTTTAAAAAAAATTAAACCAAATGACATCATTTGTTATGATTTTTTTAAGCCTCAATTTTATTTTTTTATTATAATTATATAATTATATTTATTATTTAATATGTTTTACTTTAAATATTATGTTGTAGTTGATTTGAATCATTTTGTTTCACTTAATTTTATGGTTTTTAATTTATATATGTTATAACTTGTAATATTTTTATACATTTTAATATTGTAAACTTAAAAAAATGTTATATATATATTAATATTGCTTTGAATATTATGTAAAATTAAAAAAATATTATTTTATATAAAATCCGGTTTAATCGAAATTCAATCATGATTAAACCTATAAATTAATACCTTCACCTATTCAATGTCCGGTCCGATTTTAAAACCTTTGTTAATTAATTCCAGTGCTTAGATCACCACGCAGTCTGTCACCGTATCACATTGCAGTCAGATAGCCAAACATAGCGACGCCTAAAGTAGTTTCAAATAAGCTTAATGACAAACCCTTGACTGATTTTTTACGCAGTTGAAATAGGACGGATAAAAGAGGGGAAAAAAAAATTTAGCACAGATTTTTAGCCAACTGACCACAGCAAACCGAACCACAGTTAAAATGCCCATACTTTACACTGTCAGCTTCTGCTGATTATAAAGCAACCAAACCTTGCTGGAGTTTCTGCCTACAAATCTCTCAAATCCTAAACACCAACAAAACATAGAGTCATGCTCGGAGAAAATCGTCATCCCAATACTACGGTCCCCATTCCACGTTGGCCTGACCTTGATGATTATCGAACGGCTGATGTTCACTCGGCTGTCAAGTACAATGCGTCCTGCAACCACATCAACGATAATAGTAATCCGTTTTACTCGCAGGAAGCGCTACGAGAGTTAGAACGTTACGTGCCACCAAACGAACCGGATGCCGAGTCGGATTCTGAGCTTTTGGGACTGCGGAGTAGCCCGGATTCTCCGGTTGACGCTTTTTCTTGTGATCATTTCCGGATGTTTGAGTTCAAAGTATTGAGGTGTTCACGTGGCCGTGCACACGACTGGACTGAGTGTCCGTACGCTCACCCGGGCGAGAAAGCTCGCCGGAGGGATCCGAGGAGGTACAATTACTCGGGTACGGTTTGTCCTGGGTTTAGGAAAGGGAACTGTCGCAAAGGAGATGCTTGCGAGTTCGCTCATGGGGTTTTCGAGTCCTGGCTCCACCCGGCTCATTACCGGACTCAGCCATGCAAAGACGGGGCGGGTTGTAGGCGTAGGGTTTGTTTCTTTGCTCATACTCCGGACCAGCTAAGGGTCGTCATCTCCGTGGATTCGTATGACGGTTCACCTTCTAGTGCTAAAACGACTAGTTTTTGGTCTTCCCCTGGTTCCAGTTCTCCTCCGATGAGTCCCCGAGCCGAGCCTTCGCCCCCTTTTTCTCCAATGGCTCGGTCACTTAGTCGGTCTCTGGGTTCAGCTTCTATTAATGAGATGGTGGCTTCTACGAGGAACTTGCATCTTGGAAAGGTCAAGTCCTTGCTTTCTTCCTCGAACGTACAAGTAGGCTGTTGCTCTCCGAGAGGAGCAGCGATCCGACCCAGTTTCTGTAGCCTGCCTAGTACTCCGACCCAAAAGTTGACCCGTCATGGGGTTAGGTATTTGGATTTGTGGGATAAAGTGTGCGAAGAAGAGCCACATATGGAAAGAGTCGAATCCGGGAGGGATTTACGTGCAAATATGTTTGAGAAACTGAGTAAAGAGAACCCGCTAGAAAGCCTTAACCCGAGTCAGTCTTCTGGAGGTCTGAACGTGGATTGGGTTTCGGACCTGGTGAACTAAAAGAAAAACTGGAAGCGGGAGCTAGCTCGATCGAAGTGGAGCTTTATATTACTTTATTATATGATTTATTTGAATCTTTTTTGAGTTCTCTTCTCACTGTGTATAGCCTATGAAGAAGAAGAAAATCCGAGATATATTTTGTGGTTCTATTTGCTGCAACGAGGTTGAAGATTTTGTACAAAAATAAAGTATTATTTCCTACAAGCGAAGTGGGGTGGTGGGGTTTTTCTCTAATCGTGTATGAAATTCAGAAGATCAGATGTCAACAGTGAAGATTTTTAAGGTGGATGCAAACAATTGATAATCACTGTGATCTTTATTTTAATGGTTGAATTTGTGTTATTAAAATGTAATTAATTATGATTATCCAACTATTGTGTAAGATTTGTTTTAGTTGATATATAATAATTATCAGTGAAGAATAGGATAGGTTTGTACTGTGTTGTGGTGGATTTGCAATGTTTGATTTTTTTTTTTTTGAATCAGTCCATTGTATTGGTGAATGATGCAGTGAAACAGACTTTTTGCATCGAAGATGATGTTCAAAAACCAAAGCGTTTTTCTTTTCCTCAATGGTTTAAGTAGGCTGAAACCAGGGACGTAGGGATGCAAACGGACGGGTCGGGTATAAATTTTTAAATTCACACCCGTTCATAAAGATACATTTTTAAATGAGAAAATAATCTCAGTGACCAAAAATACCTTACAATATACGATTTTAACTATTTTTTTTTGGATTTGTCAAAATGACTAACTAAATCGTAATGCGATCGATAATTCGCAAGGCGATCTCCGGTATCGCAAATCAGTTTTCAGATTCGCAACGCGATTCTGACTATCGCATTACGATTTCTTAAATTCGCGTTGCGATTTTCCTAATTCGCAATGCGAATACGTAAATCGCAACGCGATTATTTAAATCGTAACGTATTCGCGTTGCGGTTTTCCTAATTCGCATTGCGATTTACGTATTCGCGTTGCGATTTTCTTAATTCGTAATGCGAATACGTAAATCGCAACACGATTACGTAAATCGCAATGCGAATTAGGAAAATCGCAATGCGAATTCGTAAATCGCAATGCGAATATGACTATCGCAATGCGATTTACATAGCACCATTCGTATTAACGCGTATGTTTTTTTCAAATTCCAAACACAAATTTCTTAATATATCGGAAACTGAATCGTCCACAGTAATCGCAACTCATAACCTCAAACCTAAAATCACAACACTCAGTCTCATCTCCATCTCTCTCTCTACGGCGAAATTCATCCCCATCTCCGTAGATTTCCGTCCCCATCGCCGGCGAAATCCCTCACAACCATTCACGGTCAGAAATCTCTCACAATCATTCAGAAATAGAAAATCAACCTCCGAGGGTTAGTTTTTTTAATTATTTTTATTTTAAAATTTTTGCATTATTTTAAGTTTTTCATATTGAAATTGATGATAAGTTTACTGGTAATTTCAATAATAGATTAACCATTTCACTTAGATTTCTTATTAAATTCATTCGATTGCTGCCAATACTGCTAAACTGTTTAGTCTTTAACCCTGTGAAGTTAGTATTTATCTTTGTTTTGTCTTTTGGTTGAAGTAATGCAGAAGAAGAATAGTTTCGAGAATGAAAATCGCAACGCGGAAATGACTATCGCAACGCGAAATGAAAATCGCTACGAGAGAATCGCAACGCGAAACCAAAATCGCATTGCGATTTTCATTTCGCGTTGCGATAGTCATTTCCGCGTTGCGATTTTCATTCTCTCGTTGCGATTTTCATTTCAACCAAAAGACAAAACAATGTTGCAAATTTTAGTTTCAATAATAAACTACTATTTATGTTTATTGTTTTTGGTATATCTTCACAGTGTAGTTTTTGGTATATCTAACTTGGTATGTTTATTGTTTTTGTAGAAATTTTTTTCGGCTTCATTGACATTAAGGAATAAAGTTAGCCTAGCCACTACAATTGCTTCGAAGCTTTCACCTGCACAAAGAAAATTGTTTGAGGAAACCTGCTTCGGGCCATGGCTGAGAGTACAGCATCCGGGTGGAGATGCTAATTTGACCCATTTGTGGCTTCAGAACATGACTAGCGATCTACCCGACAGTATACAAAGTGGTGAGGAAGAGATATGGTTTCATTTTCCACCGGTGTATACTTGTTTTGGGCGGAAGGAGTTCTGCTTAATCACTGGTCTACGATTCGGACACGATGATGTAGGCCGGTATACTCGTCATATCACCCGCCCATCATGGTTATCCAGGGTGTTTCCTGATGAGTCTGTAACATCCCAAATTATGGGTTAGTGACCAAATTGTAAAGTTTCAGAATTTGATAACTAAAGTAGAAGAATGAAATAGTTCAATGATTATTGGATATATATGATGAAGGTTATTTAGTAATTATTAAAGGAAATAAAGGGTAAAATGGTCATTTGATCATTTAAGGAATTAAAAATGAAATTATATACACGTGGAAAGGGAGAGAATTCTCCAGAGTTCTCTTCTCCTTTCTTATTCTTCTTCACGTGGAAGCCAAGAGCCAAAGGTAAGTTTCTTTGTTTATAAATGAATTGTTGATTTTAAGGTTGGGTTTTGATTATTAGATGATAACTAAGCTTAAGGAAAGCTTAAATCATCTTAAAAACAAAGGATGGTGGAATTAGGAGAGATTAAAGATTTTGAGTTTTTGAATGAAATCTTGAAATAAAGTTGATAAGTTGAATTTTAAGTTGAATTTGACTTGTCAATAGTTAAATTAAGAGATTTGGAGTAATAGAATTGAATTTGAAACATATTGCAGAATTGATGTAATTATTGAATTACATATGGAAGATAGGATTTTGAGGTTTAAGATGAAATAAATGAATATAGATTGGTTTAAGTATGTGTACTAGAGTTAAGAATGAAAAAGGGGATGATATATGGAGTGTTTGAGAGGAAATGAAGTAATTTTCGTGCTGAAAATGATTTATGGGTTAAGGGGAATCGGTACCCATTCAAAGGGGTACCGATACCCTCTCAAACGACAGAATTCCAAAATGTCAAGTGGGAACCGATACCCCCACAGGAGGGAACCGATTCCCCCTAAAGGAAAATTGTAAATATTGGTTTAATAAGTTCGTTTAAGTTTCTAGTATCAAATTACAAGGTATAGGTATCTAATAATTGTCTTAAAATGTATAATTATGTAGATTCAGAGCCTAAACGAGTTCCGGAATCATTGACAAGTAATATCGATAAAAAGGGAAGATAAGAGATTGGAATGGACTAGTGAGGCCAGGTGAGTGCAATTTCATTATACTTATGTTATCGAATAAGCATTGGCTTGCAATGAGCCAGTGACGGAGTTACTATGGTAATAAGTAACTCTTAAAATGTTATTTGATTTGTGAATTTTATGTATGCATGAGTATATGTGACATGATTTATATGATTCATATGATATGTGATACTGAACTACATGATTATATGAGAATATTATATCAGTTGTGTGATATGTTGGACATGTTATTTTATGTGATACGTGTTTACATGATCACAAGACATGAGTTATATGAAAGAGAAAGTATATTTGATATGTGAAAGTGAATCCTATGTTTATATGAATATGAACTCATATGAGAATGGATATGAACTACGTGATTACATGTATATGTGAAGGAAACCATGAGCTTATATGAATATATGATATGGTTACATGAATATGTAAAAGGATATAAAAGATAATGCCCATGTTATGTGTCATGAGAGCTAGGAGTATAGTTGGCATGCCAAGAGTTGAGGGTCTATGTGGTCCTTCGGGACATATATGTATTCTTTGGAACATGTGTGAAGTCTGGTGAGACACATACTTGATCCTTGGCATATGTATATGATTCTTAAGGAATGATATGTGGTCTTTTGGGACATATATGTATTCTTTGGAACATGTGTGAAGTCTGGTGAGACACATACTTGATCCCTAGTATATGTATATGATTCTTAAGGAATGATATGTGGTCCTTATGGACATTATTATATGGCACTACGGTGCAATTCTACGCGGCACTCCGGTGCAATTATTATATGGCACTACGGTGCAATTCTACGCGGTACTCCGGTGCAATTATATGTGGCACTTCGGTGCAATTATATGAGCTGTGGTGACAGCATTAGTGCACAACCTCTATGTACTCGCATATCTTTAATTCTCACATGAGTATCATGGGCTATTAAATAAAAAATATTAATAAAATGATATGATAATATGTTTGTTTCCTTATGGAATTTCATGGGTGATATTGATTGTACAAATGGTAACTTATAAGATCATATGATGAAAGGAATCAATGATAGTGATAAAATAAAAAAGAAATGAAGATGATAATATAATTGCTTGGGTGTACGTGTTTTATGATAGTATATATATATAGTGTACACGACATGATATGTATATGTGCAATTGGTTATGGTATATGTTATATGATATGGACATAAGAGATCATAGGAACATGAGATAAGAGATATGAATGATAATGACATATATGTATCATATATTTGTTACATGTAAAAGTATGAGTGGTATGAAATGATAGTAATAATTGTTTAGGTATGATTATTAGTTACCGTTTACCTTATATGTTTATATGTCTCACTAAGTCTTTGACTTAGCGTGTAAGTGATTTACACGTAGGTTTCGAGAAGAGTAAAGAGCAATGTGGAGCAAGACATGTCAGTTCTTCTTACTAAAGGTCAGATCAGAAAAGATGTAAATAATATGTATTTTAGTATATAAAGTTCTAGTTGGCATGTTTTCAAAAGAATCTATTGTTTAAGCTATGAACCGTTTTATAAATGTTTCGAATAGTTATATGTAAATAATAAGTGATAGATACATGCTCTGATTGGTTTTGTAATAATGAAAATGTCTTTTATGTAAATTAGTCATTTATATGTTATAAAAGTTTTAAATTACTTACTATTTTATACAAGTACATATTTTTAAAGGTCAATGTGACACCTCGGATTTGTATCCGGGTTGGATACGG